CCATATTACAAAAGCACCGTCCCTGGGATTCGAACATGGGATCTTCCCATAACGTTTGGTGAGGGTGACAACTAGACTACTTCACTAAGTCGCCACACCTCTATAGCTAATATATTTATCTAACCATCTATTGAAGTCAGTATATCTTTTTATTTTGATGTGATATAGGTTATCCTTTTGATTCTGATTTACTTGAGCTATCATATTATTTATACTATTATTATTTTGAGCTGCTGAACTATATGCTGTGACTCATAATGATACCCAGATTAACTTATATATTAATGTTGCTATTTTGTTGTGCAGCTCTACTGTATCAATTTGATTTTTAGGTGTTCATGTATCCAAGATTATTACTTCTATGGGTATTTTTCTCATTATATATATGTTGTGTAATTCGATATAAACTTTTGGACGAGTTAGTGCGGGAGTTCATTAGATTTCTGTAATTTATTATAGGCTTGTAGTATTACCTGGCTTATAGTGGTTGTATTAGAATTACATATTAACTAATGTATATTATCCTCGATTTTGGTTAAGCATCTTCTACAAACTGGGATTCATATTTGTCTTGATGCTTTTTGTTGAGGTTTTCAAAAGTCAGAAGTTCATTTAGTAGCATCTTCATTTTGAGTGTCTGAGTTTAGACTTTTTTGGATCAATTCCTCTTGAAAGAGGCTTATCTTTAAAGTTTATATATTCATAGATTAGTCACTACTATTCTATTCCTGATTGAAGCCAGTTCCATAGTCTTCTTTGTTGTAACCAATTATTTATCCTCGCTGTTCGTAATAATGATTTTATAGTATTATTTATAGTTGTTAGTAGGGTTTGAGTATTAAGTAATACTGAAAAATTTTTAACTAAAGCTTTTGATAAGATGAATTCTGTTGAAACAGGGTCGAGGTTATGTTCTATTGTTGGTGTTACTAGTTTCAATTCTATATTAAGAAACTTTATATTTATTAATGTATTGATATCTATCTTTTAATCTGTATAGTCTTGCCTTTTTATTTGTTGTATCCAAAGAGGCTCACTACAGTGATTAAATCTAATATCTCGAATAAATATTGAGTTTGTACTGAGTACTATCTTAGATTCTGAGAGTGCTAGCATTTGAAGAATCAACAGGGCTGTAAATGCAACCTTTTGTGAAGTTGGCCAGGTCTTGTTTTGAATAGCAATTATCAGCTTATTATCTATATATAAGGTTACTGTTAGTATTACTATTTTGTTGTTTCACCAAATTTTTACCAGAATTTTTGCTTCCAATTCTTTCTTTGATGGTAGGTTTATAAAGATTTTTTATAGTTTTTTATCAATATCTGTAAATACTTGGGTAAAGCGGTATGTTATTGAATGCCTAGCTGGGATGTATTGATATTGCTAATTAGATCTTCTGGTTGGTGGTGGCTTTGTTTCAAGTATTAATCTACTCACATGCCACTTTCATGATTTTGCTACCTGTATGCTGTAGATTTGGCTAGACTGTCTCTCAATGATGCAAGTTACTAGTTTCTTGTTAAATAGTTTGTATTCACAGTTTGGGCATGGCTGCACATATCCTGTTTGATTAAGCAACCAGTGTCTTATACGAATAGTCTCATGAGTACAAGAAGTAATTTTTCCTATTAGTTTGTCAGCCATGATAACCTATTTATTTTCTTTGGTGGCCTTCTGCCAAAAGTATAGGTTTGGTGTTTTCAAGAATAGTGTTAATAATTTTATATCTTGGATCGCATCTTTTACTTAATTGAACCATCGTAGTATTCTTCCTAGTGAAATCTTGTTTATATTGTGATGAAATTCAGTCCACTCTAAAGTTCTATCCATATTGAAGTTGAGAAATTGCTCAATTGCCTCTATATTGTGTTTATTCAAAAAGGACTTGATATGTGAGGGTCTGGGTTAGGGTGTGTAGCACAGCTATCACGAGCATGCCATCATGGCATGCCAAGGGTGGCATGCCATAGGGCATACCTTAAAAGAGAATTGATATAAGACATGCCACTTATATATAATCAATATATATGTATGTCTATTTTCAGAAAATTTTTGAATACTAGATAGTTGACTAATATAAAATACAGGCAAGGGTGCCAGAAAATTTCGGGATTTATGAATCATCTGAGATTTTTAATAATAGTGTGCTACTGGCATGCCGGGGTGGCATCCTGGCATGAAATTTATCAGATAGCATGCCTTATAGTATGCCAAATTTCTTAGCCATGCTACCACCCTAGTCTGGGTATTGTTTTCAGCAATTCATTAATAGGTGTGCCCAAAATAGTTTGTAGAACTGGCTACTAGAAGTAGTGTTCATAATTAAGCTTTTTATACGCAGTGAATTTATTATCTGTACTATAAAGAAATTTGCTATCTCAATCGAGAAGGTGGGTTCACTTATTAGGATCGAAGTATTTGTTAGTGCTTTATTTTGTAGGTTTTGTATATGAACTTTTGTACTAGATAGATCAAAGTTGTAGCTATTTAGTAAGGTATTCATAATTTAGATATGTTGTTGTTTTTGTAGGTCCATGATATTCTGGAGTCCATATTTCAGAGGGTAAAAGAGCATTAAGTCTGGTATAGAGCGTGCCAGGTTTGCTTTTTGTTTTACTATATTCACATAGCTTTGTTGAATCTTTTTACATAAGAAGCAAGAAAGGATAGTGTTTTGAAGTCTATATCTAATTCTAGCCAGTATAACTGTATTTATTATATATATTGCTTGTTTGTCAGTTATTATAGAGAATCTTAGTTTTTTCATTTCTAAGTTTGCTTCCCTAGTAATTGCTCTGTATATAGCATGTTTTCATTTGGACCAGTTTGTATAAGTTCCAAGAAACTTTAGCGTTTGATCTGGTTTTATATTATTAATATTGATATTTTTAAATTTAATTGGTTTTAGATTTTTGTCATTATGTGTTAGTGTAGATTTAAGTGGGTTTATGGTAATACTGACAAGTTTATAAAAGGATGCTGCCACTTTTAGGATTTCCTTGAGTTGTAATCAGCTCTGTGCAATCCAAGTAGTATTGTCCATATAAGCTATTATAGAAGTATTTAGACAATCTTGGTTCTTTTTCTCTGAAATATTAGTAGACATTTGGTAATCTGTAAGCTCCTTATTTATATGGCTTATTAAGGGGTTATAGTAAATATGCCAAAGTAGGGATAACAGAATCTCACCATAGTCTATCCCGTCCTCGACCTGGTATAGACCAGTTCTACCAATAGTCATTAATACTTGGTTTTGACGATTGGAGAAGCAGTTGATTATTGTGTTGATAATTTTGGATAGTAGCTTTATTCTTTCTAGTACACAACGTAACAACGGTAAGTGTACTATATCCTATACCTTCGACATATCCTGTGATAGGATCTATAGCTCATTCTTGTTTATCTCTGTGTCTTCTCTTAACTGAGCCAATCACTGTATTGGTTCTAGAGTTGACATATATAGCAGTGCCACATTATTTAAAGGGTCTAGTATTAGATAGCTAGTGAATATTTTATTCATACGATTTGTTAGTATTTTAGTGAAAACTTTGCAAGGGTGTTCAATTAAGGTTATAGGGCAGTCCGTCCCATATCTCTCTCCATGTATGATGTCTTTGTGATAGACCAAACCAAACTATTCTTTTATGCTTTTGGGGTATCTTTTAATACCAGATATTGGTTTAAAATATATAGCAAAGCTTCAAGAGCTGCTATTGGTAAGTTACATAGCATCTCGTTAGAGATCATTGAAGGTCCTGTTGCTTTGTCTAGAGGTGTATTACTTATTACTTGCTGCATTTCAGGTATAGTTATGGGCTTAAATAATTTATTAAAGATTCTGGGTGCTATGCATGTTTTGGGTTTATAATAGTTCTTCTAGCTAGGCCATTCCTCTGGGTCACTTTTATTTAATTTGGTCCAATTCTTAAAATATGCTTTGACTGCTTCTTTGATCATTTTTGGTTTTGTAATAATCTGTGATGGAGTTACAATATTATGATATGTTACTTGTTCCTTACTCTTATAAGATGCTGTTTATCATTGCAAAGGTATTAGACACGAATTTCTTATATCTTTGCTCTACAAAAGAGTTTATTCTTTTTTTCTTCTCTGCATTGTTCATGCAGTAAAGGCTGTATTTCGAATTTGTTTCAAGGACTGCAGAGTATTGGTATATTGAGAACCAATAAAATATATATTTGTTACTGGTAAAGTAGATATTCCTGTCAAGTCACTTAGGGTTTTCAATTCCTTATTTATCTGTGATACTATGTATTCTGGCATAAGTGGTGGATAAACTGACTTGAATATTGCTAAAGTTTTATTTGCAACTTTTAGTCCTCTATGCAGTTGAGTTGCCTTAAAGGAATGTGATAGCAGATGGTATGTTATCTTTAGCTGCTTGTTTCACTATACTGTATCAGATGTTTGTATAGCGATTCAGAGATTCTCTATCATTAATTACCAAGTTAGAGATTGGGGAACTTCTTAGATTTGTTTGGCAAATTGTAACCAATCGTCCTCTGTTGTTTGTCATAGAGATAAACATTTCACTTTTGTCTTTTCGTTCTTTGCTTACTTAGTATTGATAACAAGTGCCATTTTGTTTGAAGAATTTTATAGCCACTTCTAGTTATATAGTCTGCATCTTTTATTGACAAAGGTTCAAATGCTAGTGCAATTTCTGGGTTTATCCAAATATTGTCAATTTGACTGTTTATCTTATTTCATTCTTATGTTGGTTCGATTATATCATATAGCTCCAAGAGGCTAATCATACCAGATAATGATATGACCTGGTTAGTCTATAATTGGGTAACCAAACTGAACCAAAAAAATTAGGTGAACTAATTAAGCAAAAGCTTAACCGGTTAACCCAGTTATTCAGTTGACCTGATATAATTGGTTGCCCTGGTTGATCCGATATAATCAGTTGACCCAGTTGACCTGAATTATTTGAGTCAACCGAATTAACTGGGTCAACTAATCTCTTTTATCCATATAGATCTCTATAATAAAATAATCGATAATCCTATAATTGCGATTTTGCTATCAGTATAGACCTGTGATCCGTTTTTTTTAGCCATCAATAGATTTGCTTTACAGCTATTTTAATAATTTCTGGAACACCTAATAAAAATTGGCTGAATGATTTTTTAGCCGATTCGATTAAGTGATTTTGGCATAATAGATTCAATAAAAATTTATATATATATACGTAATTAAGATCAGATACTGAATACATTACGGCGGATTTGTCAAATTTGATTAATTTTTGGACCCAAATTTAAGGACAAATTTTATTATTTATTTTTTAAGATTAAAAAATTATTAGCACTCTGATTTAACAATATGTTTAACACATTTTTCCCATTAGTGCAAACCATGAACAAATATATAATTTAATAGTTTTCAATGAGCGTCAGTAACATTGACAGTATGTTATGGACAGAAAATTTAAAAAGTATATAATTGTTATATCAGCATTACATATATGTAAAGTCAATTAAATAACTTACAATAGGTGGTCAAATTTTTCAAATTTTGGGTATTTTACAAATTCGCCGTAATGAAATATTATTTCTGGTAGATTACGGAAATATGATATTTTCAAAGCATCTTAACTGGAAAATATTTTTTAAAAAAATTTAGAGGCATATCATTTTAAAAAATTACCAAACACTTAGGTTTAGCATATTTTTTATAAGTCGGGTTCTTAATCACTTTCAAAAATAGGATGTATTGAAAAGTTTTCATCACTTTCAGAACCACTTTCACTGAACCACAATCCAAGATTGAACTCTTGTTAGACATTATAAAAATTTAAAGAGCTACGAACCAACTTGCAATTTGTATATACAAATAAAAGTAATAGTTATTTATGTACTTCATGCAATATATTTATTATAAAAGTCTAATTAATATATAGTGCATTTTTTATATTTCTTGTTAAGACTTAATTGACACATTAAACATATTGGATAAGCATTCGAACGAAAGTTTAATAATGTTGACATTATTATTACAACAGTCTGTAGAACAGTCATTAAAAATCAAAAATAGTTTTTATTATATGGAAATTACAAACTTAATTGAATCAGCTATAAAATTATTCGGCCAATTTTAATCAGGGTGTTCCAGGAATTATGAAAATAGCTGTAAATGAAAAAAGTTTAACGAACAACTTCTAGTTAACTCAAGTTAATTAGGTTAGCTGACCCGGTTGACCCAAATAACCCAGTTGACCCGAATAACTCGGTTGACCTGGTTGACCCGAATAGCTTGGTTGATCCAGTTGACACAAATAACTTGATTAACCCAAGTTATTCAGGTCATCTGAGTCAACTGAATTAGGCAGATCAACCGATCTAACTGAAGCAATACGGTTAACCCAATTGTATCCAGGTAAGTCAACTCGGTTAACCGATTAGGAATTTTTTACCTGGTACAAATTATTAATACCAGATTGATGGAGGTGAGTAATAATAGGAGCTACTCTAGATTGGTTTTGTTGATTAATATTATTATTAAAGTCTCCAGCTATGATTAAGTCTAGATGTGCTGCTTTGGCTTGTTAGATAAATTGCACTGCTTTAGTAGATATATTCGTCAGAACTGATGGGATATATATTGCAATTAATCGTAGTTGTTGTTTATGAGAAAATTAAAAGTCTATCATTAATAGAGGCCTGGAATTGTTTTGATATTCCTAATGTATAGTTTAAGAGAGAGAGTGATGCCAATAGCAACACCAAGGCTTGTTTTTCTATTTGCTGCATAGTCAATGTCATTGTTAGCTGTATAAATTTTATATAGAGAATTGGAAAGGGCCTTCCTAGTTGCCAAGAATTGTGGTAATTTTGTTTCTGTTATAACAATGATTTGGATCTCCTCTTCATAGCAGTATTCAAGCTATTCTTGTAGTTTTATGTTATTGTTGAGACTTTAATTATCTTGATTTTGTCAATTGTATTTTTTGTTTAATTATTTGGTGTAGAATTTAAATTGGACTGTGAGTCCAGTGTGTTGTTGTCTGTATTTATACATAGGAAGAGTAGTTATTGAAAATGTCCCATTGGGGCTTGGGTAGATCTGGAATATTAATGATTTGAGTAGGTATGCTTGCAAAGTTAAAGTGTTCCTTTAAGAAATTGACTGTGTGTTCAACTTTTTCTTGTGTAAGATAAAGGTTTTTCTACTGACTCTAATTTTTCTAGAATTTCCTCTACTGTTGTTGGCAATAGGGGTGTTTCTGGCTAAGCACTTGCCCAAATATTATTTGTATTCATTCAGCAGGAATTTCACAAAAGAAGTAGTGTTCTTTTAGTGTTCTGGCTGTGTCTACTAGCTGTCTCGGTAATGTTATAGAGACTGTTTAGTTTGCTAATTTAACTTCTTTAGAGTTTTGCAGCAATAGTGGCTTGTCCATGGTGTTAGCCATCATATATTGGAGTGGCAAAGGTAAGCTGTATTTGTAGATTGTATGTATTTCAGCAATGAATTCCTTTGTCTTTATTTGGAAATTCATATTGCCCTTGGACATTGACCTGCAGAGGATCTGCTAGTAGTAGAATTTTTTGCACAAAGTAGTTATTTGGCATTCTCTTGAAACCATAGTGTTCTCTCAACTTATCAACATAGTATTGCAGCTCTGTATTGTCAATAGAGTTGCAAGGAAAGTAACCCCAGACTGCAGAGTTTAGCTTCTGTGGTGTTGATGAAAGTTTATGTTTTGCTGGTGGAAGTTTAAAGTAGCTAGATAGCATTTTTTCTATGCCATAAAACTTTAATAATTTTTGTTTGTATTGTGTTAGGTATGGAAGCCTTGAACATTCAGTAATTGGAAACAGGTCTCGTACTTCTGGATGTAAATTGCTTGGGTTCTTGGGAAGTTCCTCAAGAGGGTCTTCGAAGTATGAATTGGGCAGTTTCATAAAATGATAAACTTTTCTCAATGCTAGTACTGTAGCTCTAGTTAATTTTCTATCTACTATTGGGAGTGAAATGGCATGATTTTCATTATATCTTCACCAATCTCTTGTGGATATGCAGGCAAAGGGTTTAATAGTCACGTATGGATAGATTCAATTTGTCTGTGTACATCCTCGAATTTCTGATCACATGTAATCCTTGCAAAGTTCAAAGCATAAAATATGTAGCAGGTACAGTCATGAGGGTTTACTAACAAAAAATCAATATTGCAGATAAAGTCAATAGCTAGTTTAATCTTGAGCTTCTGGAAGATTTGGTCTCTATTCATTTTGTTAATGAAGGTAGCATTATAAAGCCTCTTATAGCTTTCGATTGCCATTTGGAATAAGCTGCAATTGAATTCTTTTTGGTGAGCAGGTTTTGTATCTTTATTTTTTGAGAAGGTCCGGAAAAAGACCATGTCAAGATGCTTAAATTTCTGTGCTATTGCTGGTAGTAAGTTATGCTGTGTAGGCTTAGCTTTAATTTTATATATCCAAAAGTCATCCAATAATTCTTTATCTCAAAAGCCTGAATAATCTTGTCATTATGCCATGTAGTAGTGTCAAATTCTAGTATGCATAGCTTGGCTAGTGTTTGTACAACTTCATTTGCCTATATAATTGAGGTTTCATCTTTATTTTTTTTAATATTCTTTTTTAGCACATTACTGTATGATATAGGTGGCTATGATTCTATTGTTGCATTAGAGTGTAGATTCATTTCTTGATTAGTTTCATTGTCTATCATTTTTTCAGAGAGCCCTGTTGTGTCCAAGTGCTCGTGTCCTGTGGCTGATAGTCACTGTGAAAATATTCATTTTCTTTTTCTAAATTTTCTTCCATGCTTGTTGTGTTTTCCATTTTTGGTGTTACACTGCATTTTGATGGGGTAAGCTAGAATCCCCACTTTGTGTCTGTGTTGTTGAAGCATTTTGGTTATCTACAGAGGTAAAGTTAACTGGATGGGTATCAGTCTCGACTGGTTCTACCATTCTGGACTTTTTCGTAGGTCTTGTCTCAGTATTAGCCTCTATTGGTAGTTGTTCAGTAGTTTCACCTGATATCCTACTAGAGTCTATTAGGTGAAGAGGTGGTGTTAGATTAAATGTGAAGAAGAGTTCAAAGCTGTCTGGAGTTGTTTAGCTTGTAGGTCTTTCCATTTTCACTATTTTGCTAGCACTTAGTGTTGACTTGATGGGAGCTGTTTGCCCAAGGCCCAGTATAGTTTGGTCTTTTAATTAAAACTTAGTTCTAGTTCTAATCAGTATATACTTTATATACTAATTTATTTTACTTAATAAATTGGGATCTACGGGAAAGAGTTTTTCAAAAATTTTGATAGATAGCTTTTAAATTCATCTACTGTAATTAAATATATAGCTGTATTTGTTATTTAAGGGCTGTGTATTTTACTCTTAGAATGTTTCCTACAGTCTTCAACACTCTTTAATAATTATATATAGTTTTATATATAATTCTCTTAATAGATTAGCTTCAAATTCTCCTTATATCTGTGACTATCTTCATATAGTCATATTCTTTGTTATTGTTAATAAACATATTTATGTCTTCATACATGTTAAATTTATTAAGTTGTGTTCATGTGTGACTTGTGATCATTAGTATTGTATCATCATGACAATTGAGTATTTCCTAGCCTTACATATCCTCATATATGTTTGAGCTGCTGCCTCTTTCGATAAAGCTTTCTAAATCCACTTGAATAAGTCAATTATACGGTGCTTTTTTTATCTAGCCAAATCACAAATTTAATAGTCTGTGATAGACTAACCCATAAGTTCCCAGAATCATTCTTAGAGGTCAATTTTGAGTATAACACTGCATAAGTTAATATATGCGATGTTGAATTGAGATTTGTGGTTTTTATGTATTTCTGATGTGATGTACAATATAATATAGTGCTTGAATTTGAGAGAGATTTGGATATCCATTTAGCTCATCAGAAAGCCTGCTCTCATCTGTTATCATTATATATTAACCAAAGTGTCTATTTGGAGTAGATTGAAGAAGAGTTAACCCAGCAATCATTACAACATCACATGACAAGTGTTCGGCCTAGTTTAGGGTTGGTTATGGTTAGGTATATTTAGGCTAGTTTGTTTTAATTCTGGTAAACAAATAACATCATTATATGTTTATCATGTTCATGTGATCATTGATTACTAGGTTAACTGTTCTACAAGTATCCTACTTAATATAACAAGAAACAATGTTTACTTCATAGTATATGAAATCACTATTTCAAATGTCCAAAATTATTAAGTTATCTTGGATAAAATTTTTGAGAATCTACTATAGTTTTAATATAACAAAATAATAGATCATTTCATGAATGGTCATTTTACGTAATAACTAGCCGATTAAAATTTATTATTAATGATATAATTTTAATTTTGTATGTACTATCATTTCTTAATTTACGTTAATTGTTCAATTTGTAATTGAAAACAATACACATTACTTTGTAATCGGTAAGCAATTCTTGAATGTGTGACAGGTTGGTGCTATATGAATCAGCCACAACAACCTCCTTTATTTAAGTATGTACAATACGTTTATAAAATATCTTTTTGTATAAAATCTTTTACCATGTGCATTGCCAATTGTCCAGTACTTTGAATGTTTCTATTTTTCTTTTGCAAATTAAAAGATAACAGAGATATGTAATACAATTAACATTCACTATGCTGAACTATTATAAATTTTTGGAATTTTTAGTTTGTCTGTCATAAAAAGGCTCATTATAAAGAGAGTTGACTGTACTTAATAAGTATATAGATATCTATATTACAGTAATTTCGGAATGATGTTTAGTTTTAAAAGTAAAAATCTTTTTAACAATAAAGAACACTACTATTTTTCTTTTTTTAAAGATATTATTCAGCGTAGATTATAAGAAAAGCTTTTTTTATTTAAAGAAACTATTTTTGTAAACTATATAGTTCGTATATAATGGCTCATTTGAGATTTATTGCTATACTTTTAAAGCAAATCATTTTCTAATATGTGTTAAGAACTTTGCCGAGTTTTTTATCAACATGGTTTGTAAGAATTTTTGTATAATATAATTTATAAACATTATAAAAGCAAAGAATATGAATATTTCTTTGAATTCAAATAATGATATTAAAAACTAAAGGTTATGAAAAAATGAAAGGAAACATATTTTTTTGAAATATAACAAAAGCACGATTTGAGTAAATAATGTTAGAAATGGTGTGTTGTTCTATTAAAAAATATGATTTTATTATCATTATATTTAGAATATTTTAATTGGTGCAAATTACTTTGGCTGATCAATGCGCCACCAACCTTGTTAACAATATTCAATTTTGATGGTTTATTTACTTTATGCAGTGTAATCTTTATTACTATTTATGCTTAAGTAGTGTAATTTTTTTTTTCTATTTATCGCATTTTGTGCTGTCTTTGTGCATAAGATTGGCATCTAAAATTCCCTCTTAATCTATAAAAAGAAATTCTTTCACCCACCATTTTTATATATATCTATATCTATATCTAATATGAATCAATATTGATATCAATATGAGACTATATAGATGCAAGAAATTTATTTTTTTAGAAAAAAAAAAAAAAAAATTCAATTGGTTAAAAACAACCTAGTTTTATTAAAAAAACTTCCTTTTTGCACTTGTATGTCTATTTTACTTTATGTTTGTGTTACTACTTTTCGATAATTT